AAATCCAATTTTTTTTTCTTTTATTGTCATTGGATTTAGATATAAGAGATTAACATCATCAAACCACTGTTTTGATCTCCTCCCTGGTATCAACTGGATGAGCCGATATTAACCGCTGGCTGATACCATGGGCCTAGACCAAACAGCAGTGTGATATTTTATATGTTTTGTCTTTTGTCAATTTACTGAAAATTACTAAAACCAAATATCTGTATTGTTTTTCTCTTTAAATAGATTAACGCTTACTCCCTAGGGAACATAAAAGAAAAAAATCGGTTACGTTATTTTACATTATTCAGTACTACTTCACTATATTGCAAACCTTTGTCCATGACAGATTTTGGTATTAAAGCGAGGGTGACATAACGAGTTTTGTCATAAATTACAAGGCAATGGGCCCAGCTGAAGCCAATCAATACAAAATGAATACGTAATTTATTTCAGTTACAATCAAATGTCATGCTTGTGCACGCTTGTACATACATTTACATTTAAGCACAGCTTTCATTTCGGAAAAAAATCATTAATTCGTTTATTTACAAAAATTTTGAATTGAAATGAAAATGTGAGAATTTTGAAACATTTATCAATTTTTTGCTCTTTTGTCATGGTCCATGAATTTTACAACCTGATAATGGTGTCAATAGCAGTTGTAGTCTCTTGGTATGAAAAAAATTTAAGGGTTTATCGTCAATTTCATCTGAATCGAAAGTAGCTATATATATAGATTATTTCACAATCTTAAGAATTTCTGAATCAGTTTTTATAAACGTTCGGTTGATAAACTTATTAAGCGGCATGACTGACGAATGGAAAGTCATGTGTCAGAGTATATGACTAAATCTTCATGATCCCGTTGTAATATACATGTATTCTCATGTTTGCTAGTAATTGAGTACTTTTTCTTTCCATTCTGTTTTGATATTGAAACAGTAACGGAAAACGATGCTATTTTCACGTGTGGAATTATAGTAGTCTAAAAAAGAGATGGGGTTTCCTTTTCATCGATAGAATGGCCTCTTGATCTACGGGGACAAAAAAATAAATTTTTGCATTTATTATGGCTTGGTGCACTATCTTTGATCAGCAACTATCTGCGGTTTACAGTTTTAAATTTTGTTGTACAAATATTTGTTGGGTTTCTTTTCTTTTTTTTTGGTATCTAAATTTGTTTGCTTTCTCTTCCCAAACTTTTCCATTTTTGTGATGAAATAATACTGCTTCCGTATAAAAACAACAGCAAAGACATTGCTAATTTTGAGTTTTATACAACGATTATCTTTAATCAAGCTGAATTCCTTGTTCAGCCAGTCATGCTTCACCGCAACCACTGTCAAAGCATGGATGTGTTGTCCAAATTACCGACACGCGCTAGATAATTAGCAGTATCACCGATATTTAATTTGAAATTTTATTCTCTAAAACTAGTGGCGGATGGCAATAAGCGGGGTTGGCAATATAACGGGTGTATTAACACAGGGGAAAATCCGTTCTTGGAGAATTCCTGGCAATAAGCGAGGGTGGCAATATAACGTAGAGCTAGACACTTAGGTAAAAATTTCAGACATTCATAAAAAGAATATTTATTAAATACTGACACCTGAATTCTTTTTTATTAAAATAATGAAAGATGAATAATTTTGAATAACATTTCAAATGTTATGTTTTTTTTTAAATTCTGACAAGTCTAAAACTTCCTTCTGATCCTGGGACCTTGTCTTTGACAAGTAGAACTAATCAAATTGTCATTGCACTAACTTTGGTGCAAGCTTCCATATCAAAAGAAAACGTTCCTACAATGTCAGTTCTTTTAAAGAATTTGTCATTCGTTGAGGCCAGTGATTCAATAAGTGTTTGAATAAAAGGAAATAATTTGAAAAAGAAGGAAAGCCAATTTCGGCGAGGGGTTTGGGGGGCCAAGGAGGGGCAAAGCCCCTCGACCAGATCTTTGAAACTACTTTTCCTGCTTCTCAGGTCATCATAAAGTACAGGTTTTATCAAATGTCTACCACTAGGAACTGCTTAATTTGACCTTAAATAGTGCCATTTTGAAGATTTTTTTTCTCTGTTCACCAATTTGTGAAACATTAACAAATTCTTGAACTTTTTTTACCAATTTAGAGCTAATAAGAAAGATTAACTGTGCTAAGTTTTTACAATGAATATACTGTATATTTACTCCCTTTCACATGCATATTATTTTATATTTTAATCTATCTTCCAATCAAAACAGCCTTCAAAATTCTTTTTTAATTTCATGTTGATGCATTACAGCTTCAGGACTTTAAGAATAAAAAGTCATCGTCTGATTTCCAATCAGATTCACTTTCAAAATTTACAGTTTTGTTGTTTTGCTGTACTTCCCTAAGGTTTTTTGCTATTTTTAATTGAAGTAGAGTATTTTCAAAGAGTCTATCTTTTTCATTGTCATCATCACAGGTTGATACAACATCATCAGCTTCATCTTCCTCGCCAACTTCAGTGCCATATGGTAACAAGGATCCAGTCTCAGTCTGGACTTCTCCCTCCATATATGTTTTCATGCTATTCTCTCCTGTAAATATTAAATTAAATGAGTTTAAATCATAGTTAGGTCTCAGAATGAGATTATATCTCAAGATAATATTTTATCAATCTTACTGGAAAATATTATCTGAAGTCCTATTGGAAGGAAGTTTCCTCTTTTCTTGTCAGTAATCCACTTCTCGACTGCATTAGTAACTAAACCATCACACGCCTCTGTGCACAACTCTTGGCAATTTACAGCAATATGAAGCAATATCCATTTCACATATCATTTTTGAGTCTATTTTTAAGATCAGTTTTAATGATCTTTTCTTTTGAGGCACCTCTTTCTGGCCATGCATTGGAAACATTGCAAGTACCAATTCTACAACTTTTATTAGAAAGGGCACATGTAATTGTATTGATTTTTGTTCTTCATTATTTCACTCAAACACCATTCCAAGGGAGTAAGACCATCTGATGGATTGACAGGTATTTTACATTTCTTTTTAGCAATATGAAATTTCACAAGTTCCATTCAGCTTTTACTTCTGCAAGGGTACAACATTTTTAGAGAAACTGCTGGTGAATAATTTCAACAGAATCATCACCAAATGATTGAAGCTTTTACTGTCCTTATCAAGAATGTGGCAGGGATTGGAAATATTGAGAGCAACTAAAATTGGAACATCAGGAAAGCGTCTTTCAATATTTTCCACTAATGCAGAAACATAGTTGTTAAGTGTCTGTCAAAGTTGGTGTTCAGTATTCTGGTTTATTGTAATATCTAGTAGTTTAATCCTTCTACCTTCACTTAATTCAGATTTAACCGACTCAATTGGACTTTTTTCACTTTTAATCTGTTTCAGTTCTTCAACTGCTCTGTCTAAAGTAGGTTAAAATGAACTAAAATTCAGAAAACGCTTCTGAAAAATCCTACTATTTTTTCCCAGAATTGGTAAAAATTGCATGAAGAATAAAGAGCAGACATACAAATTGGGCAGAATACGTATTTTTAGTAATCCATATACTGCAGCATCGCTTTCAGAAAGTTCACTTAAAAGTTTGAACTAAATAAATCTTCCATAGCAGCAACAACTGTTGCCTCAAAACTCTACCATGATGAGGAATCTATGACCCACTTTGCGTCAACATTTGCCCCGGCAGTTGTTGAAGCTGCACCATTCTTTTCGGTATCAAGTGACAATTTTATGAATTCCGTCATTTACCATATTTTTTATTTATAATCCAAGCGTAATTTGTTTTAAGTTGTTTACCACCGCAGTAAAAACCCCTATAGAATTTAAAGAAATAAAAATACACAGGGAAAATTTTCCTTCAATTTACAATGTATTTAGTTCAATAGAGTACCCTTACGACAAAAAAATAGCACAATGCAAAAAAATTTTCAGGTCTCGCCTAAATATTGCTTGAACAACCAACCGTAGTTTCTCTTCAAATACAAATCACTTTTGAACGTTAGTTATTTTATAAAGATGACTTCGACTTACTGTTTGATTTGTTAATTTGAACAACTCAGATGATCAAATTTATACTCGAAAATGATTTTTTGGATGTTAATTTTAACCAGTGTTACTTTTTCCTCTGCATATGGTAAGTGTTCAATAAATACTGGATCCAGTTTCCAAATTATGCAAGAGCTGCTACCGATATGCATACTTTATAAACTAAAAGGCCCTTGATTTTGAAAGTCTTAAGTTTAAGGATATTTTTTCTCTTTTTGTTTTTTTAATAAGGTCACTAAATATTTTTCACAATTAAAACGCATTACTTTGACATATTTCCGCTTATCAATTGATAGAATACCTTAATACAAAAATCAATCGCTAACAATTGAGATTCTATCGTTTGGGCATTTTTTGACAAACTGTAGCAGCGCTACATTACTGCAATTAAATTTAATATAAGTTTAACATTTACAAGTTATTAGTTTCTTTGCCAAAATATATTATTTTACTTTTTTGTATGGTGGAAAAAACTAAATCAGTATAGGAGATAATATCTATTTAAGATATTGGAACACCCTTTCCCGATATTCTCTGTTGAAAGATTTTCTGCCATCACATTGTCAAGCAATATTCTGACCATTACAATTTTCCAAAGCAATACTTTTCTCTTTATTTTGTGTCAATTTTGGTAGAATTTCGCACACAAGAAGACAGCACTGAAATACAGATAATAAATTCTATTTATCTTTTTATTTTAATGATGGGTGTTGTCATGGTTCATTAAATGTAAAACATTTTGTCCAACTCTTTCGAAACTCATCATTTTAAGATGTTACAGATACATTGTATACAAGTATCATCCGACGAAGATTCTTATATCTATTTATCGGTTTGTAATTTTGCAATGATTATTAAATTTAAAAAAAATCTGTACAAATTATTTTCAAAATGCATTCGATAAATTTGGCTTAATTAATATAAACTTTGTACGTTTACGAAAAATATCAATTTGGTATGCTTAAAAACATGGGAATGCATAAGTCTGTAAATGGTAAAATGTGTTTCGAGTTCAGGTGCCTTTTTCCTCCAGTAGAGCTACGTTTTTATCAGGGACTTCATATTTATCCATATGAAAGTAATCTCAGTCTGATTTTGCAACTCAAAGAACCATATATCATCTTGCACTGCAATTCTGGATTAACAATTTTTACGCCCATTTCTTCCAATGTTCACTGATAGAGAGCAAACGGGATTTTTAAATGTTGACACAGTCTATGCTTTTTTACAACTGCTCAATAAACATATGAATTGGTAAAATGTTGCATAGCATATGTGAAAAAATGTGTTCTTTTTATCACTTAATGTCTACAGTTCCACCGGAGGTGATTTTTAATGCCTCTTATAGCTATAATGAAGTATACATTTATCGTTTTCATGGTGGACAAATTTGTACTTTTTAAAAAAGGAAATGTATATTCATTACTTGTCATGAATAATAACAGGTATTTTTTAAGCATTTGGGTTTTTAATTAATTGTTACTGGGGGCCATTCAAATTCGTCCGATTTGTGACTTTGGTATTTTATTTTGTACATATTTTGAAGACGACCTGTCGTATGGTAAGGGATCGGAACAAAGTCCTCATGTTCAGTGTTATCCTGAATCAGCATGTTTGGCAACTAATGCAGTCGACAGAAACAACAGGACATGTATGAAGACTGACAGTATCGGTCCTTCCGCACCAGTAAAGAAAACGTGGTGGTATGTGGATCTGGGAGATGTTTACAGTGTGTATAGCATCAGGATATTGTATAAGTCATATGGAAAGGAACATGGTAAGTTTTTTTTTTATCAAATATCAGATACTCTAAAATTTAATGAACTTTTGTAATGCGGATTTTTGTTATCCCTCGATGCTGGACAGTATGAAAGAATATAATACACAATGAACAATCAATTTAAAAAAAAATAAAACATATTCTTAAACACGAAACGTCGTATCATATACTAAACAGAAAGCTAAGAAAAATATCAACAGACTTTTCTACTTAACAGTCTATCGCCGATGCGAAAAAGAGACATTACAAATTCATGCGAGATGGCGTACCACACATGTACACAGTAACAGTAAAATTTGGCTGGGGAAGTTCTAACCTGTCCTAACAATAATTCATACTATACATATAAAAAAAATTCTTTTAAACATTTATTAATAAAAGATATTTGTATTTTTTGATTCAATCACATTGTGCATGTCTTCATACGGTTTAACTTAAATATTTTTTTTAACTCTGAGGAAAAGTAGTTTTCGGGCCACACTATCTGCATGGATTAACACAAAAATCATTTAATGTATTTACATTTACAAATGCAATTATTTCCAAACATTAAAAAACAAGAGGTCCATGGGCCACATCGCTCACCTGAGCATTTGGCTAGGAGTTCTTATTTTATAATTTGTATCAACCTACCCCTAAGGTGAGGGGGTGATTTGAACAAACTAACTGAGGATGCTTCCATCTGTCTTTGACAAATCATGCCTTAAGAAGATTTTAAATATTTTTCCCATAAGTTTTATCTTCTATTCTGGCAACGCCCTACCCCAAGGGGACATAATCTTTGCTGTTGTAGAGATGATTTTTTAAGGAATATATATATATATATATATATATATATATATATATATATATATATATGTATATGTATATATATATATATATATATATATATATATATATATATATATATATATATATATATATGTTAAACCTTGATCGTCCATTGTGGTCCCACCCTACCTTTGGGGGCCATGATTTGAATAAACTTGAATCTACACTTCCTATGAATGCTTCTATATAAATATGATAAATCATCGCTTTGCTGTTCTTAAGAAGAAGATTTTAAAGTTTTTCCCTATCTATATCTCCGTAAACCTTTAATCATCTATTATAAACCCATCCTACCCCTAGGGGTCATGATTTGAAAAAAAAAATTGAATCTACACTACCTGATAATGCTTGCAAATAGATATGATCGATTATGGCTTTGCTTTTGTTGAGAAGAAGGGTTTTAAAGATTTTTTCCTATGTATTCCTATGTAAACCTTTGATCATCCATTGTAGCCCCCCCCCCCTACCCCAAGGGGCCGTGAATTGAACAAACTTGAATCTACACTGCTTGAGAATGTTTCCATATAAGTTTTATCTTTCCTGGCCCAGTGGTTCTTGAGAAGAAGATTTTTTAAACATGCCACCAAATTATTACTATTTCCTAAATATCTCCCCTTGAAAGAGGGCGTGTACCTCCATTTGAACACATTTGAATTCCTTTCAATCAAGGATGCTTTGTGACAAGTTTGGTCAAATTTGGTCTAGTGGTTCGGGAGACAAAGTTGAAATTGCGAAAAGTCAACAGCGACAACAGACAACGGACAGATATTGATCAGAAAAGCTCACTTGAGCCTTGGCTCAAGGGAGCGCCTATGTCGTTTAAATATTTTCCCTATAAGAGATTGTTTGAGATTTTTGTTTTCCTTGTGAAATATGATCCCCTATTGACATCACTCATGTATAATAATGTTGAATTAAAAATCCAAATTTTGCTTGAATTCCAAGTATAAACCGTTTGGGCACCGAAGTAATGATTATTATATTATTCAAATACATGTACTTAAAAATATACGAAAGATTCTCCTTCAAATAGCCAAGTGTGTTCATATAGTCTTAAAATTCAGGTAAGTAACTCAATAAAACAAAAAAAAATAATGAATCAGATATATACATGTTAGATTCATGCAACGCAAATCGACCTTAACCAGAATAAAGTATTTCGAGGAATTTTTACAAGAGAGAGTCCAAAGAAAGCGCAGGACTTTCAAAGCTTAATAAGTTTTTTTTTTTTTTTTTTTTTTTTTTTTTTTTTTTTTTTGAGACTGTGAACAAAACAATAGTGATGATAATAATGGTTATTATTATCATTTTAATGATTCCAATAAAAATTGAAAGATAAACAGAAAGGGCACGTACTTCAAGTGAATGTGTTAATCAAATCAATTCATCGACAAAAAATTAATGTTATGTGATAAGAAAATATTGATATCAGTATTAAGATGTAGGCTTATTTTCAATCAGAGTCCCTGGATGACAAGCAGGTGCACCTTGGATCTTTGTTACGTGATGAAGCCGATGATTTCTGCAGAGTATGCTGAGCGGTGCGGTGATTATCAACGCAATTTATGCGAATTGTAGGGAAAGTATCATTCGCAGCTGTAGCATATCCAAAACAATATTTAAAATTTCAATTTTTTGCTCACCTGAGCCGGGGGCTAAAGTGAACTTGTCTGGCATCCATCTGTCGTTTGTAAACTCTTTATATTTCTGAATTCTCAACAACCACTTTGCCAATTTCCATCAAGCTAGTCACAAACCACCATGTGGTAAAAGAGATTTAAGTCTGTTCAAATGAAAGGCGAAGTTCTCTTTCAAGGGAAGATAAATAGGAATTAGTGAAAAATTAACGTCTTCTCAAAATTTTTTTCTCATTGTATACGGGGCCAGGAAATATTAAGCTTGTGTGACTGCTTTATTATAAAGTGTACATTTGAATTTATTGGAATCTTGACCCCATGGCTAGGAAGCCACAAAAGTGATTTACGTTTTCATAGGATATTAAACGAACAAACTTTAAAAACCTTTTTCTAAACAACAGCAAAGCCATGATTAGTCATGCTTCTATGGAGGCATCCTCGGTTAGAGTAAATCCCAGTTTGTTTAAATCGTGACCACCGGAGATAGGGCGGGGCCATTAGGCGACAAAAGTTTTACATACGAAGTTATAGGAAAAAGTCTTTAGAAAACTTTCTTCCCAAGAACATCAGACCCAAGCTTAGTCATTATATATATATATATCTATCTATCTATATCTATCTATATATATATATATATATATATATATATATATATATATATATATATATATATATATATATATATATATATATATATATGCAGGAGCATCCCTAGCTAGTGTATTTTCAACTCGTTTGTTAAATCATGACCCCCTGTGGCTAGAGTAGTGTCACAATTGGCGATTAAAGTTTTACATGGAAATAAATAGAAAAATGTTTTCAAATGTTTTACAGAAGAACAGCAAAGTCATGAATAATTATATTTATATGGAAGCATTCTCGAGTAGCGTAGATTCAAATTTGTTCAAACATATAATATATATATATATATATATATATATATATATATATATATATATATATATATATATATATATATATATATATATTAAGACATAAACAGTATATGCAGGTGATAGCGGAATATTACTTCATAAATAAGGAAAGCTAACGATGGAAAAGCTGAAATCATCGCGTTTGTCATACAATTTAGTTGTTGGTTGGTCCTTATCGTCTATAGTCAGTAAAACATCTCATTTCATGTTCACTGGGATATGTCGAGTCGACATATGAATGGAAGTAACTATTGTTAAATTGATAATACAACGCCCATATATCTAAATGTTGAGTTGAAGGCCACAGCAAATCTTTCTTCTTCTCATGTAGAAGTTTCTGAATACATTCTTCAGCCAATCACAACAACGAAATTTTCCGACTTCCGATTTTTTTTATTGAAGAAGCAGTTGTCTTTGGAATCAAAAGTTTTATTTTTTTTAATTTATCTTCAAACATGGTTCTATTAACTGTAGAAAAGTCCTAAGTTTTGAAAAAAAGGCATTTTAAATTTTCTAAAAGCTCTTTGGAGTTTTTGAGAATCCACATCTGATTTACACCGTCTCTAGAATATGCTGTAGCACAGTCGTTTCTCTCTTACGACAGTTAATACTCCTGTAAGGAGTAAAGAAACTTGCTTGTTACAGCATTTGCTGAACCCTGCATTGTATCTTTATTAATAAGACTTTTGATGAAGTTTAGGAATCCAGTATAAAGGTAGGGTAGAGTAAAACTTTAGTTATCTGCGAGTAAGACTAGAGGTTGGATTTCCACACAGAATTAAAACCAAGTTCTTCTAATATATAGTTATAATAAAGAGCTTTGCTAACAAAGACGATATTGGTACGAGCCTTGCCTGCTGGAACAGTCATTTATTATATACCCAACTGTTTTGCTCGGTTTTACTGTTGAATTTATACAATCACGTAACTGTGTGATCCGACATTCCGGATCACCACACTGTGGTTTTCTGAATCCATATCACATCTCTCTGAAAGTGATGACGTAGTGCACAGATAAATGACGTTTTTATTCTCGTGCATCAAAAAGTTCCTTGATAAAATGATTTGTTAAATAGATTAAAGTTATGTAATTGATCCAAAAAGTTTCCTTTTACTATATTTTGCTTGTTGTAAAGGGGTATATAATAAATTATCATTATAACAGTAACTTGATCCGAAGAGCCGTATCAAGTGTCGTTGACAGGCGCTGATCTGATGATCCGTGCCTGTCAACTTGACGTGATACGACTCTTTGGATCAAGTTACTGTTATAATAATAATAATAATAATAATAATAATAATATATATATATATATATATATATATATATATATATATATATATATATATATATATATATATATATATATATATATATATATATATATTGCTCGTGTATTCTTCCTATTCTTGTATCACCTTTGATTTAGTGAAAATGGAAGGATATACAGTTCGCATATTGTCTTTAAATTTCGTATACGATTCTTTAATATACAGGTATTTCTAAAACACTTAATCCATTCCGGAAAAGTGTTCAGGTCTTTCTTTTCATATTTAGCCCAAGGCACGGGTGTATGGCATAATCGTTGACAGA